GCATCCCAGACTCCTGAAGGGGGGCGGGGGCGGGAAGGGGGAGGGGAGGAGAGGGACTCCACAAGAAAAAATAAATTCAGTTATACACGAAAACAGCGTTCACTTTCAGGAAATGATGGACTTTCTGGAGCTAATACGTGGATTCCACCAAGGGTCATGAACTCGAATTAAGGCTGAGCCTAGAAATCCTTGGCTCCAGGTTCATGGCCACACATGGGAGTTAGCTGGGCCTTTAAAGAATTACTTCCTGGCTCCACCCCAGTTCTACTGAGTCAGCACCACTGGCTCTATATCCTGTGGTATGTTCCCCAATGATTCTTGTATATCCACCCAGAAAACAGACGTTGGGCGGGAGTTTGAAACCGTGGCTCTAAATCGGGGTGGGGAACGTCCAGCCTGCGGGCCATGTAAGGCCCGGGAAATCACTGGGTCTGGCCCTGCCAGAGCATTAGAGTTGAGTTAATTAAATGTTTGACCAAATGTAGCAGGCTGATGTGTAAGGTGATAATTTTGTATGGCCCACGAATGACGTTATAAATATCCAAATAGGCACTTGGAAGAAAATAGATTCCCCACCTGTTCTAAATACTACCCATTTGCCGAAGCCGGTTTAGCTTGGTGGATAGAGCGTCGGCCTGCGGATTGAAGGGTCCCAGGTTCGATTCCAGTCAAGGGCAAGTACCTTGGTTGCGGGCACATCCCCAGTAGGAGGCGTGCAGGAGGCAGCTGGTCGATGTTTCTCTCTCATCGATGTTTCTAGCTCTCTATCCCTCTCCCTTCCTCTCTGTAAAAGATCAATAAAAGTATTTTTTTTTTTAAAAAAAATAAATACTACCCATTCAACGGATGAGAAGTCATTTCTACCTGCATAATGTTCGGTCCGCTCTTCACCTCCCCGAACCTTCTATTTTGTCTTCTGTCAAATGGGAATAACGGCTGTCCCTACCTCATAGGGCTGAATACTCCATGGGAGTGTTTAGCACCGGGTCTGGCACATAAATATGCAAGAAATGTTTATGTCTCGCTAATGATGTAGTAGTATTTTATCATCTATGTAACTAATCTCTGTAAATGTTCTCTTGGCGATAGAGTTGGGAACATAATGTAATTTCTAGCAGACTGTCAACAAAAATACATGAAAGAAAGGAAAAAAAATCCAAAGTTTATTAAACATTAAGGATAACAGATAAAGGTTTGCGTGAACAGCATAAACACGGCCCATATCATGGTACACAATTAAACCGACCTTCTGTGAACTTTTACCTGTTTAGCGGATGCAATCTTTGTGGTGTTGCCAAAAAGATAATGGTAGATTATTGTGAAGTTTGGTAAGGTGCTCCAAAATTAAAGATTTTTATGTCTTGACTTAAATAGTTACACACACACACACACACACACACACACACCCCTATATACATTTGGCCCTCTGTGAAATGTACTGACTTTCGTGCCAAGTTCAATTCATCAAGATCGAGGCTAAGGCTGTGCTCATTTTTTAAACATGGTATTATTGCCAGCAGGTGGGGTTCAGTCGACTTACAAACTAGGAGGTCACGGTTGGATTCCCGGTCAGGGCACATGTTCGGGTTGTGGGCTCCATCCCCAGTGTGGGGCGTGCAGGAGGCAGCCGATCAATGATTCTCTCTCATCATTGATGTTTCTATCTCTCTCTCCCCCTCTGCCTTCCTCTCTGAAATCAATAAAAATACATTAAAAAAACAGGCTTAAAAAACAAAACAAAGATAGACCCAAGACCTTGTCAATGCACATGCAGAATTATTCTGAGCTCCCTCACAAGACCAGCGAGCTGAAAGGAAGCGCTGGGATACCTAGTACAGCGTCCTGCCCAGCCCACGCCAGAATCGCCTCTGCACTCTCCTCCAACACAGGGCCTTCTGCTCTAAGCGACGGTGTTGCAGGTGCGCTCCACACCTGCAGGGGCAAGGCCCAATGTAGGTCTCAAAAGGCAGCCACTTCCTCAAGAGAAGGAGAGGGCCACTTACCGCCCGCCCACCCCCTGCCTGCCGCCACAGGTAGCATGGGCAGGACAGGATGAGCAATTCCGACCTTTCTCTGCAAGTCTGGGCCGAAGAAACGGTGATGGGACCTCACCAGGAAGCCCTGGACCACTCATTCCAAATCGTGTCTAAAGGATGCTGGCACACCACGACTCAGCTTCATTGTTAATGGCCAAGGAACTGATCTCTGAAGGAAGCTTATGAGGAAAGGGGGCAGGGGGAATGACAGCAGGACTGTTAGAATAGCTGCAGTCTGCAGAACTCCTCTGACTCCGGTGGACTGGAGTCATGCCACTCTGGGCCACGGCCCCCCACGCAGTTAGCAGAACGGCCTCACTCCCAGTTCACTGGCCTGGGCGGAAGGCAGCGAGTCCAGGAGCGAGTGCTCACGTGTGTGCCGTGGCAGTGACCTACATATAAGGCACCTGTGCAGACTCCAAAGTTTAAAATTGTTGAAGATGAGGTAGGCTTCTGAAACCTTTCCTGGCATGTGAAAGAGTACGTTTTATCACGATCATTTTATTTCTTCTGCAGAAAACATTTGTGATGCTCATTTGATACAATCTAATTCCAAGAAAGACCAGTACTCAAATGCAGTTTTTGTTGGTTTTTTTTTTGGGGGGGGGGCTACCATTTTATACATCAATGGATTGGGTGGTCCAGGGTACGCTCCCTTCAACATGTCACCACTTACATATCTCATTTGTCTCTGCTTTAGAGAATAGTGCCATTGAACAGTTATGGCAATTCGCCTCTTTTCCGATAAAAAGGCCAACCCTGGCTCACTTGTGTCTCTTACTGAATATCGCTTCTTCACATCTGCCTGAGATCGCCCAGGTCTTGCTTGTTTCTGTTACGAGTGATTCACCTGTGTTGAGTGTTTCCTTCCACGACCCGCGTGGAGTAGGGTTCGGTATCTGAAAGAGGAGCCGCACAACAAATGAGAGAAAAAGACACGAGATAATTTTGCAATATTGGGGGACCAGGCGGCAAGTCCCGAAGGACTTCCTTCCTCCCTGTGCTCAGGCCTCACCAAGCTTTGATTGATTCTGGGATGCACCCATAGCATAGCCCTTAGGCAGGTGACCCCTGGCAACAGGCAGACTAGCCCATCAGCAAGGATTTACATAATAATAAAATGGGGGAGTAGTTTCAGCTACCACTGTCTGGACAAACAGAGGTGGCGCCTAGCTCCGACCTTTGCTAGGGCTTCAAAGGCACCCAGCCTTGGGGGGGGGGAGGGGGGTGTCTCTGTCTACGCTTATCAGATAGTGGCAATAAACAGTTTCCCACACACCTGAGCACTGCATTTCAGCTCCAACACTCTTCCATCTCCCACTGTCCTCTGTCGCCTGGGACCGAATGAATACCTGGTGGGAATACCCGCCCAGCCGGGTTTCCTGAGACTCTAACACCATGAGACAACTGCTGGCAGGCTGACCAGGAAGGAGCCCACCAGGTCCCTAAAGAATCAGGTACTCTAGACGCAGGAAACTAGGAAATCTCACAGAGGAAAGGGTGTTTTAATCCAGCACAAAGTGTTTCTTTGTAATAACAGCAGAATCTCTTGACATGACACAACTGAGCAAAACGGAAGAACTATCTTTAAAGTCAGAACATCCATCAAGTCATAAGTCACACATAGCACCGATATCGACCGCCAACTGCCTACGACGCGCGTGCCCACGGGAAGGACTGAGCTCCGCGCGGGGGTGTGCGGTGATATTCCAGTCCAGGAAGTCATCGTTTTGAAGTGAACATTTTTGTGGCAGATGCTTCCCCTAAAAAACACGGTAGCATCCAATAAATATTTGACTAACATCCATTTTGTGCTTTTGGGTGACGTTCACTGACTTCTTTCTGAGACCAACTAGGAAACAGGACACCTCCTTCTATATGTTAGAGCAGGATTCAGCACAGCGGGCCTCCATACTGTTGTGAAATTTCCAAGCAGAAAACATGCTGATGTGTCAGTGATAGGCTTACAATATTAGAGACATCAAAACCCCCAAGCCCTTCTCTGTACAACGCTGACGAATATATATATATATATTTTTGCTATATAATTTCAAAACATGGACTAGTTATCCTTTTCTCTTTGCTCTATATAATATATGTCTTCCAAAATACATGGTCAGTATTTATATCTGAAAAATACTGTACAAAAAAAGAGCTTCCTATAATTACTCTGTATAAACATTAGACAATTTCATAATCTCTCCTTTGGGTCTATAGTAAACAGTTAAACTGATTGGATTACCCACAGTTTGTGACAACACCATCCCCCTCTGAGATACACCAGTGTCTTTTACATTCATTTCTCAGAAGGTCCATGTTATAAAAGCACACACGTTCAAAAGCAAACAGGATAAGAGCCGTAGGCTCCAGAATCATTAATTTATGAAGCATTCGAAAAGGGCACCGCTAGGAAAAGGGGTCATACAAAACACCAACTCATTAACGTAACTGATGTTTAAAAACAGCCAGGTAGAAGTCACAAAAATATATATATTACAAAAAACGGGGGAAACTGAATCTTAATGGAGTTGCTGGGAATATCAAGAGGGCTATGGAAAAAGTTAACTATAAAAGTGGGGTATGGGGGGAGGGTTATGGGAGAAGGGAGAGAACAAAACCAAACATATCCATGTCCAAAAGCCATTCCCAAAATGCACTTTTTTTTTTTTTTGGCTCCTATGCTGATGAAGGAGCCCTTCCTTCTCAGACCTGCCACTTCCCTCTGCTTCCCTGTCCTGGGTGGGGATGTTCTGGGCATGCTCAAATGCATTGCTGTCATTTTTGTTTTTTAAAAGAGGGTGGAATTCTCAGGGAGGGAAAATATCCTACGTCCACTAGTAATACTCAGGCAGCATGCTCTAGCGTACAATAGGATTATTGCTTTAGGTACAGACAGTGCAAAAACACACTCTGTGGTCTATGAGAGTACTCTTACGGATGGGGGGGGGGGAGAATGAAAAGGAAACTTAGTAGATAGCACGGTGAGTAAATATGGGATCTAATTAATCTAAACAGCACTTTCAATGCGAAGACGATGATCATTCAAACTGAAAAGATGAAGAAAGCGACCTACAACTGAAGAGGGCACACAGTAGTGCTGGGCTCTTTTGTGCACCGTGTTGGCATGGTAACTTACAGCAGGGTCTTGAAAACTGAGAGCTCCTGTTCTCCCAGGGCCCTTTAGGTGGGTGGATCCAAACACAGGGTCCTAGCAGAGCAGGGAAGAGCGACCACGAAGCCGCGTGGAAAGGGCAGGAGTGGGGAGGAGGAGAGGGGCAGGAAACCCCGCCGGAGGTCTCCATAGTCCAGTATAAACATGGCACCTTTCTGTTTGGGGACCTGAAAGAGGATGAGCGGGTTCTCTGGAAATGGCAAGTGCAAAGGAACGCACACCGCTGGCCACAGGCGCGCTCAAGCCCGTGCGCCCAGCGCGCACACGCCACAGCGGGAGTCAGTTGTGTTGATTGATGCCTCGGTAAAGTGCTGATGATGGGAAGGGCGGGTGGGGTGGGGTGCTGTCATACGGGAAACGCAGTGTCCATCTAGTCCAAGGCCAGCCCCCTCCATACCGTCCTACAGGGGCCCGTGCCTGGCCTCGTACTTGGCCAGAATGTTCTTGCACTTGCCCAGCTCCTTGCGCAGGTCGGCCACCTCCTGGCGCAGGGCCGAGTTCTCCTTCTCCAGGAAGGACGCGCGGATGGCGATCTGGTTCTCCTTCAGCCGCCGCGCGTCGCGGGAGCGCTTGGCTGCCATGTTGTTCTTTCTGCGCCTTGCCCAGTACTTGTCATCCTGCTCGGGAGGTGCAGAAGGGAAAGGAAACAAGATATTAGATTTCGGCAGAGCTGAGGGCCCGCTGGGCGGCTGGTGGGCCTTGGGGTTGCGCCCAGGCGCCAGCCCAGGAGTCTTAACCTGTGGCTCCTTCCTTGACAGTCTCAGCAGCCCTGAGTGGAGTCCGTGGGCCATGGCTCCCTTAGCTGGGACCGGCCTGTCACCACACGCTCCTACCCTCTGCCCAGCAGGGCATGTGCCCCAGGAGGAGAGGTTGAGGCTGAGAGAAAGCAAGGGGCGCCCCGCACACCCTAAATGGCATTCCAGATTTCTCCACTCTTTTTGCTGAAATCGTTATTTTTCGAACCCTTCTCTTCCATGGGCACTCATATGCTTTTAAAAAAATACATGTTTTTATTGATTTCAGAGAAGAAGGGAGAGGGAGAAAGAGATAGAAACATCAACGATGAAAGAGAATCATTAACCAGCTGCCTAACCGGGAATCTAACCATGACTTCCTGGCTCATAGGTCAAGGCTCAACCACTGAGCCACTCTGGCCCAGCCTCATAAGCTTTTGGACTTAGGGTTGATACAATATTGCTGGAAGGCAACTGGGCAATATCTGTCAACTACTTCAATGCACGTACTACTGATCCAGCTACTCCACCTCTAACGTCTCCTCCTGCAGCAACCTGCATGCGTGTGCACAGACACAGGCGCCATGTTTTCTGCGGCACTGTTTGCAACAGGAAAGAAGTGGGGAGGGGAACGTAATTATTGGTAAGAGATTTGATAACTAAATAATGATGGTGAATACTCTGCAGCTATTAACAATGATAATCCAGTCGAACCAGAAAGATGTCCATGATATATCATGATGTGAGTGGAAACAACAATAATCTGTAGATAAATGTGTGTGGCCTCATCCCACTCTGGTTAAAAAAAAATCACAATATTACGTATCCGTACAAAGAGGCCCAGAGTGATTGATGCCAAGCTGTGAAAAGTGATGCCTTCAGAGGAGGATTCAAGGGAGGGTATAGCTTCTTAGTTTATATCCTTCTGAACTGTTGGCATATGACATAATGGGCATGCACATTTTGGCAATTAAAAACAGAAATTGAGAAAAACCCACCAAATTTCTACCTGCCACCACATCAACATACTCATAGTGGTGGCTAGCATTTAAATAATTTACCCTGATTTCCTGTTTCACGGGTCTCTGCGCATCAATTAGCCTGAGTAATGTTTAACTGTGGTCAACAAGAAAGCGGTCCCTTCTTCCCCCTCCCCTCTCCCGACTCCTCCTGCCAGAAGAAAGGGAAACACTCCTGGGAAGACTAACACTCCTGGCAAGCCTTCTTATAGACCTTCCAACTGATCTATGGTGCCACCTGGTGCATTTTGCCACTCCCCCTGCCCCCACCCCTCTTTTCAACAACTGGCAAGAGCAAATCGCTCTGGATCCTGGCAAGCCCAAAACCTGCAGTTACATGCCACCCAGAGTAAGTGGGTGAGGCCAGTTCTCACCCTCCCCCAGGATTCCAAGGGGCAGCTGGCACTGGACAAGGTCACATGGGTTTGGGCCAAGGCTGTAAGCCAGGTCCAAGGTCAGTGGCCCGCCTCCATACCTGCCCATTACCCTCAGCAGACACTCGCCCTAATCAAGGACAGAAGGTGTGAGACGGACAGCGTGTGCAGGCACCTCTGTGGCTTTCACAAGCTGGACTTTTATTTACAAAGCGCTCTCAGCTTTCTATATATTTCATGATGATATGTAACAAACTGGGAAAACAAAAGACCTTCGTACTGGCTGCTACCAGAACTGTCCTTAGAGAGGAGTTAGCTTGGGCAGGTGTGCAACGGCTGTTGGTGGGATTTGTTATTTTGCTTCCGAAAGGGAGCAGGGGGCTGGAGGAAGCAGAGGGCCAGTGGATGAGAGAGGCTGGGAGGAGCTGGGGGAGTGAAAGGCTTCCCAGGGCTGAATGGGCCCAGTGTAGCCTCTGGTATAGCCCCCAGTTGTTTGTGTTACTTCGATGTAAACCCCAATTCCACCCCCCCCCGCACTCCCCCCTCCCCCTGGTGTGTCAGGAGGTCTGCCACCCTCCTCAATGCTCCTTGGAGTGTGGTTTCCAAGGTCATTCAAAAGAGGGGCTGACTTAGGATGTGTCCGAACCTGCACCCAGGGCAACAGGCGCCCACGAGGTGCAGAAGGACGTGAGAATCACCCCCTGGGATACTGTAGAAGCTGTGTGTGTTGGGGGGACAGATGGGGTGTAGGCCATGGACTTGGTTTGTGACCACATCATAGGGCCCAGGGAGTCACCAGTTCACTCAACCAACTTCTCTGTCTCTGGGAGCTCTCACCTCTGAGGCGGTTACACCCCCAGCCTCCCCTGTCCACACCTGGAGATGGGTTAGGAAAGGCGACGAATGGGGACAGGAATGGAGGGAGGATGTAGAAGGCAGGGATGATGCAGGGCTGTCCTGGTGGAGAAAAGCCAGGCTGCCGCCCTTTGTATTGCAGGAGACTGAGGGGCTGATACATTTGGCACCACATCCCCTGTCCCCTTCTCCTCCGCCCCCAGGGGCAGATGCCACCTAGCTGCCCGGTCACCCCCACCCAGCAAGGACCGACCCCTCAGTCCTCTCCCATCATCTTCCTGATGCCCCCTCCTCCGACCAGGCCAGCATCCCTTGTCAGCAGACTAGAAGTGCCTGGAGGGTAAGAAACAATGCCAGGACCAATTCACCTCCGCATCCCCAGCCCGACACAGGGCTTGGCACACACCAGCATCACAGGGCCCCGGGAGTCAGCAGTTCACTCAACCAACTTCTCCGTCTCAAGTGAAAAATATGTGTCAAGTGAATGAATGGGTGCTGCAAAGTATGAAGATATCAAAGTGATCAGGGTCTCGGCTGGGAGTCCCAGTGTGCCACCCCTTCACCCTCCCAGGGGACGCATGCTGACCCAACGCATGGCTCAAGGGAGGAAGCGCGGGCAGCGGTGGGGAAGGCCGGTTCACTCAGTACGTTTGCTCATCCAGTGCTGGGGCCACAGTCGGGTCTCCCACCCACCCAAGCTCAGAGCTTCCCGCTTCCCACGAGCACATGGTCTGTGGCCCGAGGCTTCCTCCCAACTGGAGAAATCCAAGGACACGTGGCAGGAGGATGTCGCTGCCCACTCCCACCTGCTGCGGGAAAAGGTCAGGCCTGGCTCTGACAACAGTGAGATGCAGAATCCCAGCCCAGAAGGTTTCCACGTGGCCTCTCTGTTGCCAAGGTTACCTGGGATGTTAGGTAGGCTTGCCCTCTGCTTTGACCTTGTAAATTTGGAGACCCTACGAAGGTCTGGCTGGGAGCTACGTCTCTTACTCGGCAGCATCCTTTCAAACTACCTTCCATTCAAAAGGAAATCCACGCAGCACAGGTTCCTGGGTTTTAGTATAAGAGATGAGCTCTGAAACACAGCCGGACGGCTAAGCGCACAAGATGAGAGAAACCATCCAGTCCAAAGAAGATACCTACTCGCCCAAGGACCTAACCCGATGGTGCCCCTTCACACCCCGTCGTAGGCTAACCAGCAATTCCCTGGCCAGGTTAGATCTCTGGTATTTTACTATGCACTTTCTGATTCTCAGGGGGACAGCTACTGGTCTGTCCCCGAGGAGCCCCTGTCAGGGCAACGTGCTACAGTGACCTGTTTGGAAGCTAGAAGACTCAGGGACCAGGCTAGGCTTTCCTCTACCTCAGTGGTTCTCAACCTTCTGGCCCTTTAAATACAGTTCCTCATGTTGTGACCCAACCATAAAATTATTTTCGTTGCTACTTCATCACTGTGATGTTGCTACTGTTATAAATCGTAATGTAAATATCTGCTATGCAGGATGGTCTTAGGCGATCCCTGTGAAAGGGTCGTTCGACCGCCAAAGGGGTCGCGACCCACAGGTTGAGAACCCCAGCTCTACCTAGCAGTGAGCAGTGCTCGCCTATCTCACTTTCTGCCTCTCCATTTCTTCAACTACAAAATGGTAACTTGGTCTAGTGAATCTCCGAGGTCTGCTCAGCCCTGACAATTCTGCATCCCTCCAGGTACGGAGATGACGGCAGTGATTCAAATCTGCCAGACACTTCCTCTCCAATGCTCTTTCTGGATGGAAAAGTAGAGGTAACGAGTCTAAGTCAGTCCCAGGACACGCCCCAAACTCCCATTTCCCAGCCAAGGAGCCACACTCCATCTGAACTAGACTGAGGCCTGAGAGATGGGGGTCAGACATTAGGAAAGGGTTAATGGATTACGCTTGGTGCCAATACCTTGAATGTAGATAATCATATCTTCATTGTCCATATGCTTGGAATGAGGCATAAACACACAAGTCTAAGCAACAGCTAATCAAAAGTGGTTCTAATTTAATGCCAGTGGACATGCAACATTTTAAAGAATTCCCTCCCTAAAGTTCATTAAATGTGTCAGAATAATTTTAAGTTGCATCTGACTTCCCAAGATAAACCTATGTTCTTTTATAAATAATGTGTCCCTTCAACACAGCAGAGAAAAACCAACTTGGAATTAACCTTTTGTTGAGATATTCAAGTGATCATTATTTGAGGTCCAGAGTGAACATTAAAAGAAATAGTGTCAGGAACCCACCAGCTTCTTTAACAAAATCCCGCCCTGGTCACCCAAGGTTGGCCATGTGGAGAGGGGTCCTGTCTCCAGCTGTTGTTCCCCGAGGCCCTCCGGGAAAGGACAGCAATTAGTTATCAACCAATCAATCCCCACAGGGAATTTCCCTTGGAAGGCTGGGAGGCCAAGATGCCCTTCCCCAGTGATTTCTCTCTCTTTCCAACCTTGAAAGGTTATAGTTTGATTTTATTGGCCTTTCATGTGTTTCCTTGCAGACTGCCTCCTTCATGGGCTGCAAATATCTCCAACATTTTATCGCTCCTCCTCCTTTCTGGGCATTATGGAGACATGAAAGGCACGTTTCAGAAGACACCCAGCGAGGAAGCAACTTGCTGAGAGTCACATGCCAAGAAATAGGATCAGAAAGCAAGAGTCCTTTGTTCGCCAGCTTGTGTGATCTTCCCAGGGTCACCCTTTTAATCCGCCTCTCGAGCCTCCCACTCCCTACCTGCCCACGGCCTGGTCACCAGTTCCAATTTACCTTCAGATCCTCGGGGATGAAGACTTTGCGAGCTTTCTTAATCATGGGCTGCGGCTTCAGTTCTTCCTCGGAGAACTTGCGTTTGCGAGGGTCAAATATTTCCTGGCCAGGGATGCTGGACAGGGCGAGGTCTGCCGGGTCCGGCTCATAACCCACCGGGACCTGGATGGTGTCGGGATCGATGGGACTCGGTGTATTGCGGTTCGCCGGCAACAGCTGACCTGGAACAACACGGGAGTTTCAATTCATCAACACCCTAGGGCAGCGGTTCTCAACCTGTGGGTCACGACCCCTTTGGCGGTCGAACGACCCTTTCACAGGGGTCGCCTAAGACCATCCTGCATATCAGATATTTACATGATGATTCATAACAGTAGCAACATTACAGTTATGAAGTAGCAATGAAAATAATTTTATGGTTGGGTCCCAACATGAGGAACTGTCTTTAAAGGGCCAGAAGGTTGAGAACCACTGCCCTAGGGAGACCCAGTAGACACAGCTTGGTGATGCTTCAAGGTGAGTGACAGGTCTGCATGTTACTGATATCCGCCCCTAACCCTGTTCATCTTACTCATCCCCACCATGTTCCTGGGAGCACCACTGAGCAGGACTTTACTCAGATCGTGCACAACCAAGGCCCACAAACACATGGTCACAAACGAAATTAAAAAATACCTGTGTTTAGCCTAGCCGGCATTGCTTAGGGGTTGGTGGTAGACCTATGAACCAGGGGGTCAGGGTTTGATTCCCTGTCAGGGCACATGCCCAGGTTGTGGGCTGGATCCCCAGTAGACGGCGTGCAGGAGGCAGGCGATCAATAATTCTCTCATCATTAATGTTTCTATCTCTCTCTCCCTCTCCCTTCCTCTCTGATATCAATAAAAATATATTAAAAAACAAACAAACACCTGTGTTCATTCTTTTTTTGCAACACATCCATGTATCAGCTCCATGCCAGGTGCTACAGGTACAATGGCTAGAAATATATGACTGTTACCTTCAAGGTTTTCCAGGCAAATCAGGGAACCAGACCAATAACTAGCCAGTGAGGACACAGTGACGGTGCCCAAATGGATGCCAACCTCACGTGTGTCCAGAGTGTGGGCAGCAGTGCGTGGGCAGCAGTGCATAACAGGGAGGTTAGGGGACGTTTCCTAGAGGTGACACCTGGCATAGCCGCATCTTGAGACAAAAGATAGTTAGCCCGGAAAGGGAATCTGGGCATAAACACAAGACAGACGGTTACGTTTCTGAGGAGCCACAGGCAGGCTTGGTGGCTGCAGCACTGAATCAGAGCACACGTGGAGGGGCGAGGGGTCAGAGAACTAGGAGCAGGAAGGTGGGCAGTGGGGTGGTATAAAAGCCCCGAGTTGACATCGGTGAAGGGTTCTGAGCACTGAAGTGGGGCACAGAGCTGAGCTTTGGAGAGAAGACTCAGGTGGCGTGAGGGATGGACTGAAGGCTGCAAGGCTGGGGTGGGAGACCAGCTCCCAGGCCATTGTGATAACCCACGCACGCACGCCGACGATGGGCCCCGGGGACGGGCTCCAGGAACATCTAACGAAGAAGGAAGGACACAATGGAGACGGCCTCACTTCCACTTGAAGGTCCTACAGGCTAACCCCCGGAAACGCACTGGTTCCACTGGACAGCAGGGTTCCTGAGTTTCATAGCGCGTCTCACTGGTGAAATGAACTTCCTAACGGACCACACTGTGTATGTGGGGAGCTCTGAATCTTACTTCTAGTTTCGCCTGAAGTTTTCAATCGTTCCTTTCAGGCCCAGAGGATAAAGGAGTGGACACGGCTCAGCTCTGCTCGGTCCGTCCCCTCCTCTTCCTCACGGCCAGAGGCTGGGCAGCGTGTGTGTACCCTGCAGCTTTCATTAAAACTCACCCCAGGTTGAAGTGCGCAGCCAGGGGCTTGCATTCTAGCAAAACTGTGAAACTGGGCTTGTCTGTCTCCTGGAAAGGCCGGGTGGGGAGCTTGCAAAACGAATGTTCTGGGTGACCTTCCAGCCCCTGCTCTGCACTGAGCTCCCTCTGTCTCCTGTTTGCCAAAGGGGAAGCGAAGGGCCCCCCAGGCGTTGGCAGAGGATGGAGATGTGGCATTAGCCAGGCTGAGCTGGGCTCTGTATTGGACCGTGTCGAGCTGGATTTGATCTCGTGCCTCTTGACATCGCCTCAGAAAACGAACCATGTCTGAGTCAAACAGGGCTTTTATTTTCCCTTTGGAATTTCTCTTTGAACTTAATAACATAGCTACCCGGTGCCCCGTCTCTATGACCACCTCCCCACTCCTCCCCCAGCGCACGCACACTCACACAGGCGTGCACACGCTTCTCCTACCCTCTGCAAGCCTCTCTTAACTAGTGTTTCCTAAATCGAATGGCTCCAAGTTACTTTGACTTCCTCCCTAGTACCTCAGTATTCTGTTTGTTATGCTATATTAAAAGTAGTAAAATGTTCTCCTTTATTTTTTTATAAATGTTAAGCTTTACACACACCCTCCTCTACCAGAACTCATGGTCTTTCGTGGTTGATCTGTTTCATGCCCACCCCCCTCACCGTGGTCCCTACATCAGAGTCCAGCTTCTACAAAGAGTGCTGCTCATTAACGGTGGCCCTTGGCGAGCTGGCCTCCGACGTCCATCCCTGGGCATTCTGATAAGACCACTTCCCAGTCAGGCAGAGCCTTCCTCGGCATT